ATACATGTATCCAGTATGTATTTTCGTATTAATTATATTTAGACATATCACATTTAGTTCCTGCTTTGGATAATTATTTTTTTATTATTTTTAGTATGGAAGAATATGAGAATTTTTTTTTGGAATTTAATTAGTTTAAGATCTTTAAAATTGAGTAAAACAATAAAGCACCCATTTTATTTAATTCTACAAAATGGTTATTTCATAAATTTGGCCTTATTTTGATGAAACTAAGAACAATCACAAAATGTTCGCTGTGCCTGAATTTTCCTTTAATTTTCAATATTGTTTTATGTAATAGTAACCGAGATAAATGCCATCCATTATTCTGATTGAAATAGCATAATTATTTCTTATTTATGTAAAAACTGTTGGTAGAATCAATCATCATACATTTTACAAATTAATGTACAATCCATATTTTGTGACATTTCGTGCCATCAGCGAATATAGTAATAACCTAACACTTAAATAAATAATATGGACGGTACATAAGTTCATTGTATAAGCCCCATTGTTGTTCCCACGTCATCATATGAATAATTCGGAAATGAAAAGTATAATTTACGAAGTTTTGTATTTTCTGTTATTATTATCTTGTTCTATTACAAAATGCAAATAAAAATCGATCCAGAGGTGGTACTTCTTCAAAATTTTCAAATAATAATTTTGTTTCAAAATATTATGTTTTTCTCTTAGAATTGCCTACAAAATGACCTGAATTAAAAATACACTTTCATTTATTTAAAAAAAAAGGTTTATACAATTACTTAATTTTGTTATGTGAATTTTGGAAGCACGTTAGACCATGTCTCTGTCTATAATATTTTGTTTCTGTTTTTTTCTGTTATATATTTCAATCGAGCTCCGAAATTATGATACTTGATATTTTTTCCAATTATTTTGTGAATTATTTTCTTATGTTTGAGCAATCTATTCTTGCTACCTTCTTTTGTTTGAATAGTCTACTTTTTTTCTACATTATTTTATTTAAGTAGTCTATTTTTCTACCTTCTTCTGTTTATTCATTTACTGACGTCTACGGACAGCTATAGTATTTTCGTTCACGCCTGTGCAATAATTTTTAAGACTTACGCTTTTTTCATGCGTTTTACATATATCAATGTCTATCCTCACCTTAATTTATCAGTTTTTTAATTCATTACAGAAACAGTCTATGTACAATTCTTTAACATATATTTTTTTCCTTAACAGCAATTGCACAATGTTCCAAGTGCATTATAATTAGAACTGTCAGAACTGAGCCACGAGACATAGGTGTACGCATCATTTATTAAAAAGCAACAAATTAAATTGTCTGCAATACACCACCATAGACACCAACGGATAGGATTAATTATGCAACATCCGCACGATAACAAAAACAACGTGACGTGAAAGCATTCTGAGAAAGCGGCTCACGCATGTCTCGGTTAACCCGCTTGGCACGCCATTGAATTGCAGCCCTCTCTGATAGCCATATCTATAATATGAATTAGTAAGATACTTTTAGATTTGTAACACAAAATGCCACGAACAAGAAATTGTTACTTAGCCCCTTTCTGAAATAAACGATTCGTGTACTCTGTTTACACTTGTTGTCAGTGAAAAGCTTATAATGATTTTTCGTTATGCTTTGCACATACTTGCATGTACATCACTGAAAACGCCTGGAAATCCCCTGCTTACGATACGTGATGAGTTGTGTACATAGTTAACTATAAATTAGCTAAAACAAACATGCCGGCGGGCACGGAAATAGTTTTAAGTAGTAATTGCTTTCAAATACTGGTCCCAGCGCTGTCGTCTCAATCCCATAAGTGGAAACTGTCTTCAAACAAACGATACGATAGCAACAGAGTGGACATAGAATTCCTAGATGTAAGAGCAAGCAATACAAATGTAACTAATCTGATTAGGATAATAAGTAAAATTATTCAAAACAATCTGCTTTGCAAGCGCACAGCAAGTGCGTTATCTGATCCAGCAATTTCAAAACAAAGTATTTTTCACCCATTATTTTACACAAAGCAATTGGATGTAATAAAACTGATTAAGTACCTGTTGCATATTAAATGGTAAGTGTATTCGATTCATCATTATTAACTGAAATTAAGAAACGAAAACCATTTAATAAAATTTAAATTAGGTTTAATGTCATATTTTAATATATGTTGAATACGTAACAAACCTGTTTCATATTTTTTCGGAGTTATAGTATTATAAAATAAGTTGCCTCAGTGAATTTTCATAAGGTATTTCTAAGAAAACAGGGAATAGTTTTTTTTCAAATCAGCTCAGTAATCAAAATTTGACGTGGTAGACCAGGAAAATTAGCGAAAAAAAAAGAGAAACTTGAAAAAATTCCTATCCGCGATATTATTGTAAAATTGTCTAAAGGAACATAATACAAGACATCTCTCATCTCGTGATTCAAAAAATTTGATTAGCTAACTTTTCTATTTAAACAAATAAGTGAGGAAAACAGTTTTTTCACTTTGCAGGGAATACCATCAATTTGAGCGAAAAGTGACTCTCAGACAGCTTCTAGGGAATAAAATTATCTACAAAATGAGACTTGTTAAATTAAAATCGGTTAATAAACAAAAAATTTATTGCAAAAAAACAAGGAAAGTGCCCATTTTTTAATTTATTTATAACTATCGCATTTATTGTTAAAATTTCACCGTTTTTTTGACATTAACATTCTCAAATTGTGCATTAGAAAACCGTGCATTTTTCGCTTATAAACAATTTGAATAAAATTGTTGCTATTTATGCTACCTCACCGAAAATAGATGCAATGGATAGCTGATAAAAGTTCAAATTGATGCGCGCATCGTATAAACTTCTTTTTTTTTAACTGGGGTAGCTCGACGAAAAAATAACAATGGGAATATTTACGAATTCGTAGAATAGCCCTGAACCCAAGAAAAAATGCATCTTTTATACTTAATTTTTTTTAATTTACAAAAATGTCACAAAAATTACTGTTAAACGAAATATTAATTAAAATTTCAATTTCGGAATTATTTTACTATTATTAAATAAATAAATGAAGCCATCGTTCACTTAAAAAGTTATTTTTTTATATATTAAGCCAAAGTAAACTTATTTTTTCACAATTTGAGAATGTTAATGTAAAAAAAACGGTGATATTTTTTAATAGGTCGCTTAATTACGTCTTTAAGATTACAATGACGCTTTCAGAATCATGTTTGGTTGAAAATTAACGCCTTTACAGAGGCTTAAATTTTATAACTTTTGGAACCTCTTTATAAACCAATTGAATTGTGCTAAAACTATTGCACTTACAGCGCCCAATTTTGGCACACTTTTAAAGGATGACAAAACCCTCAACTTGTTATAGGTTTCATAAAATTTTAACAATAAATGCAATAGTTATAAACAAATTAAAAAATGGTAATTTTTCTATTCTTTTAAATAACTTTTTTGTTTATTAATCGATTTTAATTTAACAAGTCTCATTTTGTAAATAATTTTATTACCTATAAGCTGTCTGTGAGTCACTTTCGCTAAAATTGGTGGTTTTCTCTGCAAAGTGAAAAAACTGTTTTCCTCACTTATTTGTTTAAATAGAAAAGTTAGCTAGTAAAATGTTTTTACTCACAAGATGAGAAATGTCTTGTATTATGTTCCTTTAGACAATTTTACAATAATCTCGCGGATAGGAATTTTTTCGAGTAAAAATTTTATTTACTTGGCCTATGGGTCAATGTGGCAATTATGAGTACAAAATGGGCTGATAAATATGTGATACTAATTTCGACATTAGGTGAACATTACAAAAATAATACATTAATATTATTATACTAAAAAATTACCGAAAAAGAAAAGCTTAATAAGATAAAACAATTGTGAGAGAAAAATAATTGAAAAGACATGTTGAAGAAGACACAAAGAAAGTAAACAGAATATTAAAGACAAAACAGGAGGAGATAAAATAAGTTCAGATAAGAATAATATAGGAAATCATTGAACGAAAATTTTGAGAGAGATTTTTACACTAGAATTGTAACAAAATTTAAAAGTTACAAAGTTCTTGTTGGTCAGTTCATGCAACAGAAGAAGAGATATTTTTAGGAAAATGTGATTTATTTTCTTAAATCGTCGAAATTTTTTCCACTGCGGTAAAGTGTTGCAGAGATATTAATTTTTTTCGAAATTTAGGGCCCCACTTTGTGGGTTAATAACTCCTCAGGGGTGCAACTTTGTATATAGGTAAGTTTGGTTAAATTACAATTTTTTGGACACCCTTACATGTACCTGCCCTGTGTCGGTTCTTATGTGGGACACCCTGTATACTGCAAAGTAGAATCAAGTTATGTTTCTATTGATACAAAACGTAAATACTTTTCAACAGCAAATTAAAGCGTATTAAAAAAAATTAAAAACTTGTTTTCTGATTTATTTCACCTTTTAAGCTTAATTCAATGGTGTAAACTGTAATTTATTTTTAAAAGTGCAATAATATACAGCATATTCTATTTAAATTAAGGTACAGTAGAAAATTGTTAATTTTGCTTATTTATATAGCTGCACACTTATAAAAGTTTTTAATTCGCAGTTTTCACTAAATTTTCATATTAATATTTAACGCACCTATCAGAAGTAGCGAATAAAAAATGTTAAATGTCGAGTTTGCGTAAAACACTGTTCAGGCGATTTCAGATTATCGTATTCCAAAAGTGCCTTAATTTATTTTTTAGTTCCAAACGAATCGAGGGAATCTTGACCCTTCATAATGTATGGGTTCATTAAGTTTCATAAAGAGGATAAGCTGTTAAAAGTCGTGACAACTGAATAAAAATATCTCAGATTTAATCTTGACCTTGATTCGATTCTATGACCTACTTGCCTTCCGGCAATAACAGGACTGATCATTAAGTTCATTATTTGTGGGTTTGGAAATATTTCTCCAATATAGATATAAAAATAACGTAGAGTTAATTAAGGAAATAGTCATGCTTGTTTTGATAGGTTGATAGTAAAATATATAAAAAAAATTGGGTTTTCATAGAATAATGTTGTGAACTTCTGAAATGTAGAGTTTATTGGTTTATTTATTTTTCAATTGGTCGACTACTATAGATGCCTTGAAACCAAATGGGTACAGTTGGAGATAAAAGGGAACAACCAAAAGTTCATGAAACTAGTTTTAACTTCAAACGAGTGAAGCATATTTAAAGTACGATATTTTTCCTGGATGTCAGGACCTACCCCTGTTGTTCTCGGGCTAGGTTTGTGTGGCCGGACACGACAAAACAACCCGAAAACACATTGTACTATTAGTGAAGAATATTAATGAATGAATTAACTAATAACATTTGGGAAAAATACTGAACATATATTTAAAACATCACTAAAGTACATTACCAAGAGTATATATTTTATTGATATTAATTTTCAAACGGAACTGACATACACAATGACATAATACATTAAGCGCTAATACATAATGAGCTTTTTTTGTTATAATACTACTAGAAATAATTTAACAAATATATAAGGCATGGTGGAGAAAAAGTGAAGAAATATCTGTATAATATCCATTGTATCATTAAGAATATTAGTAACACTGTGTCTAGTTAAAATTGATATATTCCTTACAGTCTTAAGACACAGTTTTTACAAAATTCCTTAATGTAAGGAAATAATCATATATGTATGTACCTATACATATATGTAAATTCCTTGTTCATCCACATTACAGATTTGGAAATAGAATAATAAACAAACAACTTTTACTTATTATTATTAGCTTCCAAATATCAGGTACACTGGTAAAAAAATATTTACTGATATGTACCGTGGAAATTATTGACATCATAGTCGTGTGCCAAATAATAATCTTTGCCTTGATAACGATTGTTGGGATACTGTTGGTTATTAGTTTGTTGGTGCTGTTGGTATTGCTGCGAATGACTAGTAGCTGGTTTATGTTGCTGAACACTAACAGGAGCACTAAGTTTCACGGTATATCGACCTTGGCCGTTATTTTGAATTTTGTTGTAATACTGTGGCGGATTCGTGATACCAAATGGTTTCCGAGTGGTTTGACTACCGATGAAACTTCCTCTGTTCGCCACAGTGTTAGTTGGAAGCCACCTTCTTTTTACGAAATCTACTCCCCTCTCGGCCATCATCACGATGGTGGCGTGAGTGTTTCCCGAAACCAAGATCGGCATTGCGGAGGCGTCCATCACCCTTATACCGTCTATGCCGTGCACTTCGAGTTGATTATTGACGACTGCCATTGGGTCGGAAGATGGGCCCATTCTACAGGATGAGACTTGGTGGTTTTCAGGTCCTGTGTAGTAACGTACAGCGCAATGCCAAAATGCATCAGTGTCATACCTGTGAACAAAGAATAAATTATTATCTACCAAGGTATTAGATTTGTTTCTGCAGCAGTTGATTTGAAACTATCAGAGATATTTGACCAACTGATTCTTGACCTTATGCTCGTTGAAAATACGTGCCGAGTATATCTGAGGGCTCGACAATTGTTTGAAAACTGTTATTTGAAAAAATTGGGAAACATACTGTAAACGATGTTATAAAAATGTTCAGCCAAGGAAAAACGCCAAGTTTACATCTTTTTGGAATCGGAATAGACGAAATGATAACAGAACGATGAGCAACAAGAACGCTATTCAGTTTGCAAATAATGCTCTGGTTACTAGAGTCTACATCCATATTATCTTCTTCTTTCGCAATCTTTCGACGCTTAAGTTAAACCCTTTATACCAGTAGTTTTTCAAAACAGACTCTACGATGCTTTGCCTACTTGGTCCCATATAAAGTCATATGATAGTGTGCTATCCTGTATGCAAAGGTTATTCTGGTTGCTATAGCTTACTTTTAAATCTTCTTCCAAAGAACCAGCGTTGCCGTCGATAGCGTCTTCTCGACACAGACCTTTCGTCAAAGTACTTTCGTTCTAAAAAGTTCGCTTCTATGGAGGAAGCCTCAATTTGTTCGTCATAGAACTAAAGCGTCTGACAACCTGGTGATTCCGCGTTAGATTTGTTTCGGTTAAGTTAGGTTAAGCTAGTCAGGATAGGTTAGGAACTAATTATTCTATGTGCGTCTTTTCGGTAAACTTGTTCATCCAAAACTAAAAATCGCCCAAAAAATAAACTAGCGAATTAATTTATTTCGGAACACCTGAGTAATAAGTTTTAATTGGGTCTTGCTATGTTACATTGAACTAGTAGTCAATGATTGCTTTGCCTACGATAGGTTTTTCCGTATCTTCTTCCCAGGCACCAAAGTTGGCAGCTATTGTGATGGGACATTACCACTACCTTTATCAGTAGCTTCGATTCATTTAAAGAACCATGAACTTATTCATACGAAAATTAATTTTATAGACAAGTAAGTAGCGCAAACGGGACGGATGTAGGTAATGTGAAAATTTGAAATATTATCAGTTCCAAGATTTAGTATATGTTTATATAGTCCTTATATATTAAAAGCTGTAAGTTACTCTCGCTTCCACACTCGGCCACGAAAACAGGCGTACGGTATTATCAAAGGCTTTCCTTGCGAAGCGGTCCTTCCTTTATCCAAACGTCGTATTTGTAGCTGATTTTGTAAACTCATGACTGCGAAGCCGAAGGTCCGGGGTTCGAATCGCGGGCGGGTCGCATTTTTTCTTTTTTTTTTGAAAAATGTTATATATTATTCACCAACCCACAGACAACGCACCGAGGAGCGATGCTCTGTCGCGCGCAGCGCTGTCCGAGGGCCGAAGGCCCGAGAGAAAGGTGAAGTCCGTAACAGCGGACTTGCCTACCTTTCTAGTTTCCTCTTTAAAATGAGTCCTCGCCGAAAATCGATTTTTTTTTTCGGTGCGAGAGAGGTACCCGAAGTACATCCGATATTTAGACATAGATGCAGACAAACGTCAGTGAAACGTTTTCCCGGCCGATCGGTCCACGGCAGATCGTTATTTTGCCGTTAGACCGTTAGGCACCGGTTTTTTGAAAAATGCTATATATTATTTATTTACTAACGCACAGAGAATGCTCGGGTCGCGCGCAGCCGAAGACCCGAGAGAAAAGTCAAGTCGGCGCAAGCGGACTTGCCTACCTTTCTAGTTTCAATTTTAAAATATGACGACTTACCCATGCTTTCTCTCGCAGTCACCATATTCCTCTTTGGGCAATACCAGTCCATACTTGTTTCTCAAAACCGTACTATTCACAAGTCTTTGAATCACTCTTATCCCAGCCACTAGAGTGTTGGCATCGTCTGGTTCCGTTAAGTAATTGGCAACCATAACAGGAGGATCAAGAGGATTTTTCGATCTCAGTCCAATGTATCCCTTACTTTTTGGATGTAGAGTAACTGGTGATACGGTCAACGTCTTGGGAGCATCTGGATTATCAGGATCTGCAGCAGCTCTGACTTCTCCTGAACTGGCACAACGTGCCAAGAAACCGGAAAAGAATATTTGAAGATCGGGGTCAGTACCACTGGGATCTGCGTATGGGGAGTTTATTCGGGCGGTAACCTGGGACATACCTGAAAAAAGCAGTTTTAAATTATGTGAAAAGACAAGGTTTCCGAAGAAATTATTTTTATATTTAGTACTTAGGGTATTTACCACAGGATTTATTGCTGTCTTCCTACGTCACTTTTTTAAGCAAAAAAGGAGAACCTCGAATAGATTTATCTTTTAAAGTTATTAAACATACAAACATTACATTTTTCGGGCTACTCATTAGAATTACTAGTTGCCAGATTTCTAATTTTTAAATTCCAAAAATAAGATAAACATAGCACCATAGGAGCAGAGCGTACATGATACATCTGACTTAAGAATCAACAATTTTTTTCAGAGGAAATGAACCTGCCTCTTCTACAAGAATAAATTATATTGGTGTTATCTATATTAATCTTTACAACAGAAATTAATCTAAAAAATGTGTAGATTCAAAGCTGCTAAAGTGTATCTACTACGTTTCACGCGTGGTATTGTTGAAAATACAACGTATTTGTTTTATACAATAAAGAGAATTACAAATTTTCAACACAGTGTACTCCAATTCCCGTCCACTTTCCACTGTATTAATAATATATTTATTCCATGCTTTTAATTTCACCTTTGCTTATTACAATGTTGAATTCTATCGACGTTATTAGAGCACTTACTAATAAAGTATGTAATCATATTGTTAGAATTATCGATTTTTCTTTGTGTCTATAGAAGTACAAAGTCATTAGGCAAAGTAAAATTACATTTATAACATAAGATACATGGTGTTCCAAAAAAAGTTCTGTGCTGACAAGAATTTGATAAAATATAAATACAGATTCTTTCATTTCTTTTATTTATATTAGATACAAAATGAAATAAGTTTTAGTAACTGTTAATAAATTTGTTTTTGTAATATTCAGTAGCTTTTTGAGCAGCTTTAATTATTAATCATATAAAACATTTTTAAAGTTGTTAGAACTGGGACAAATATGAAAATATTAATATTGTATAGTTACATTAATAATAACCGTTGATTAGGCAGCAATATTGATAACTGTGCTTCGTGCCAAGGGGAAATTTATATACAAAACATATAATCAAATTAATATAATTACTAATTCATTTATGCATTGTGAAATATAATGTTTTGTTTAATTTTAATTTATTAAACAAGTAAATTTGAAATTCAATACATACGGATGTTGACTTTGTTACATGGTTTTGTGTTTTTAAAATGTTCAAAGGGGTATGTGTAGTGTTACCCGTATGAAGTTGTTTGAAAAAAAGTGGACATTGCTACAACGATACATTTTTCATTATGTTGATGCTGTTCCACTGCTTTTTCAGAAATGGGTAGATTATGTTATTCTGGATTTAGCAAAAGAAAATTAATGTATAAAAGAATGCGTTGAAACGTTACGAAATAGAAATGCAATGAGATTGAAAATACTTATGCATATTTATACAGATCAAAATAAGAAAAAGTTTTAAAATGTAACAAAATTAAATAAAAAAATTTATAGAAGTAACAAACGCAAATTCTGGTAAAACAAAATGCAAGAAATAGAAAATAAATTTGTAACTAAAGAAATTATAAATATTTACGAAATGTTAAACAGTGCAGATGGTTTCCACCTAAGACTAAATATTACAGACAAGGAGATGGAATATTGATAAGGGATACTATTAGATAATTAGATTTATAGGCCGATCACTTTGAGAAACTACTTAAATCAGAAGACGGCGAAAATCTTATTGATGATAAAAATAAAGTTATATCCAGAAAGAAATACGATAGTGAGGGAGTCGTCATAACAAGAAATATCAAATATCACAAAAACAATACTGTAGTTTAGAACTTAATAAAATTAACACCAAAAGAAACAGTAAGGTAACAGCGGAAGGGCAAATATTTTAACCCCTCATTAGCACATTTGGAGCTAATGAGGGGTTAAGATGGAATGCCCCTTTTTTCTTGAATTTAGTTATAGTAGTTAATAATAATGAGACAGTAAAAGACAAATAAGTAATGTTTACGTGAATGATATTGTCATTATGGCAAGGAATTAATGTGATCTGATGGAATTGGAAATAACAGTAAAATGATATAGATATAACAAAGTACATGGTGATATGGACAAGATCATGTACAAAAAATGAGGAAGAGAGAGTGAAAAATAAAGAACAATTTTGAGAGAGTTCGGGAATTTGATAACCTGGAATTCACTTCAACAAGTAGCTGTAAGGAGGATTGGGAGCTCGATAAAACAAGAAGAGGAAGCAAAGCAGTGAGAACAATATCAACGTTTTTGTAGTCAAAAAACATTTCAATGAAAACCAAGCTAAGAGTGATTAGGTCTTTGATGTAAGCCTTAGTTTATGAATAAAAATATGGAAAAGAGATTAGACATATGGGAAAGAAAAATATTAAGTTGAATTTTTGAGTGTATTAGAGATAAGAACGGTCAGTGGAGAAGGATGACAAGAAGTAACTAGGAGAAAATAATATAACATGTGTAGCAAAAGCGAACGAGATGGCGAGAATACGATTATAGGATACCTTAGGTAAAATAGCCAAGAAAAATATTGAGTGGACAAGGAAGAAAGGGAGAAAGGGTATAATTTGAGTATCGAAGACTAGAAATCTGTAGCACTGGATAGAGAGAAATAGTTATTATTTTATGTTCATAATTATATTGGTAAACTGAGTCCGGTTCTGTTAAAAGTCACGTAACACAAACTCTATTTCTAACAACATATTTACATGATTTCTTCTTGTTTATTTTCACAGTGTTCTCTATGAGAAAAACACTTCCTATAAAATATTCTGAATCCTTGTTGATTTAATTACCTAGTGCCGTTCTCTGAATTTAGAAAAACTAATTAATTTTTAATTTTAGGCGCTAAACGACCACCTTGTTTATTTCTTTTTATTTTTATCCATCAACAAAGAATGCTGTATTGCGAGTGGGTTGCAAATTATTTGGGTTGTTTCGATGACCGCAATCTTTGCGAAAATTAAAAAAAAATACGGTAAGTAATTTAGGGCTGGAATGGGAAAGGGAGATACGCTTCTCGCCCATAGGTCTTTAGGCCTGTTAAGGCGACACGCATAGAGGGCTGGGGTTAACACTCCAGAAAAGTTATACAAAAGGGCAAACAATGGGAGCTTAATAAAATGGAGAAGAACAATAAATCTGGCATAGCCTGACACAAATTTATTGCAAGCTTATGAAATCTAATTTGGGATTTTGTTGTTGGATACTAAGTATTAATTATAAAATAAATTAATATGTGGTCTTCACTGATATGATGATACGCCGAGAACACCTGTAACTTTTTCGATTTAACAGAACCGACGACACAACTTTTGCGAATGTAATAACATATTTTAAATACATTAGAATTATTTAAAAGATAAAAAGATTCAAATAACATTTAGAAATCGCGAATCATTAACAGTATTCATCAGTATTCTTAATTGTTTATTTTCTAATTAAGTATAGATTTTTTATTATTAATTCTATTATATTTACGTTACTATAAACATATAAACTATGTAAATGCAAAAAAATACATGCCAGTCGTATTGTACATTGCAAAAAAATGTCTTTATTTATTTCTTTTTCTGCTAGTTGTAATAATGCTTTGGACAAAGACTACAACATACAACAGTTAACTGTCATATGATTTTTCAAAAGCTTTCCTTTAAATAATGGAATAATAATTATTACAGTACAATAGATACTAAATTATATATGAAAAGCTTATTAAAGATGTTTTAGAGATAATGATACTTTAAAACGACAATGTTAAAAGGCTCTCATTTTAACATACTTGACCTTTCAACATAATTGTTTTATTTTAGATTAATGACTAGTCCATCTATTGAATTACTTCTTGAATGTACGAACAATTTCGAAATTAATTGGAATTTTTAAAATTAATTTGCTGAAATACATCTAAGGTAAGCTTACAACTAGATATTTAAGTATCAGCCACTGATGGAACATTACTTATTTAATTAAAAATCATAATTTTTTTTGTTTATAATTATCTAATAAAATTATATGTTCCCCTTGATATTTAAGATAATTATTTCATATGGAGGAAGAACAAAATTATAGCTATTGATACGTTGATTTCGACCTTTAGATATGCATTTTTTAAATACAATTATTAATGCAAAGAACAGAGGTTACGGAGAATGTACAATTTATCACAGATTTTTTTTTAGATAATCTTGAATATATATATTACTCAAAATATATAATAAAGCCTGGAGATATGAACAGACACCAAAGGATTGGCAAATTTCATTAATAGTACCAATACATAAAAAGGGAGATATTAAAGAATGTAGTAACTATAGAGGAATAACATTGTTGAGCACAGCTATGAAAATATACGAAAAAATAATTGATAGAAAAATAAAACCAATACTAGAGAAGACATTAGAGGAATCACAAAGTGGATTCAGAAAAGGAAGAAGTACACAAGATCACATATTCACTATCAAGCAAATAATAGAGAAAACCAACATGAAACAAAATAAAATATTTCTGGCATTTATTAATTTAGAAAAGGCTTTCGATAAGGTACCTCGGGAAAAAGTATGGGAAAGTTTAAATAAAAGAGGAGTAAATGAAAAGACAATAAGAATAATACAGAATATATATAAGAACAATATCAATTTTGTTATAAGAAATAACATGAAGTCAGATGCTTTTACAACAAAAGAAGGTCTAAGACAGGGAGGGGCTTTAAGCCCGACGCATTTCATACTATTTATGGATGAGATAATAAAACAATGTGCACTAGAAATAAAAAAGTTAAACGTTGGATATAGGAACTTACAAAGGATAGACATTTCAGAGGGAGCATTTGCTGATGATGTGGTAATCATGGCGGGAACTAAGAAAGATTTACAGCACAATTTAAATATATGGAACTTGGTACTTGAAGAGAATGGAATGAAAATGAATAAAAAGAAAACGAGAGTGATGGTGATAGGAAATGAACAAGAAAACGTGAATATAAAAGTAGCAAGTGAAAATATACAGCAAGTTGATGTCTTTCAGTACTTAGGAGTAGAGGTGGAAAATAACGGAAAACAAGATGCGGAAATAAATAGGCGAATAGATAAGACAATAAAATTATATTATACAATGAGTACGAAGTTTATAGGAAAAAAAGAAATATCGCAGAAAACAAAATTAAATGTTTTTAAGTCAATATATCGTCCAATCCTGACATTTGGCTGCGAATCATGGGTTCTATCGAAAAGACAAAAAAGCAAGATACAAGCAATAGAAATGAAATACTTACGAAGAATAAAGGGGATAACAAGAGAAGACAGAATAAGAAATGTTAAGATAAGAGAGGATATGAAAATACAGTCCATATTAGAATTTATCGAAAAAAGACAGCTGAGCTGGTGGGGTCACTTACAAAGGATGGATAGTGCAAGACCGGTAAAAAAAATATGGCAAACAAAGACACATCAGAAAAGAGGAAGAGGGCGACCGAGAACAACATGAGATAAAGTAATTGGAGAAATATTAAAGAAAAGAGGAAAGAAATGGACAGAAGCAAAGGCATTGGCAAGAAACAGGCAGGAATGGAGGAAATTTGTGTATAGTTAACTGAAATTTCTACTTACACTACAATGTGGTAAAAGGGTATTTCGATTATATATATTGTTTTCACATAAGACGTCCTATTTGTTATTTTGTCACTTTTTTACTGGATATAAAATTAGCAACATAATTTCATAGTTACATATAACTATACAGGGTGTTTATTTAGTACTTGTAGAAACTTTAAAGGGTGAATCTTTGACTAATTTTAAGATAAAAAGTTCATATGAACATGGGTCCGCAACGGCTTGGTTCTTGATACAAAACGTTTAAAAAAATTTTTGTTTCAGCAATTATTGTAAATGTTACTAATACACAGAGCGTAAGTAGCTCCATTTATCGTGCTACTTCCCAACTACGCCATTGACCATGGCTACTACTAATAGGAAGTGACCTGCTAAAATTAGCTAGGTACTTATTTGCAGGACTGGACGAAACAAAATGTTTTTAATTTTCAGTGTTGCGAGAAACAACTACTCCGGTCGGCATTGGATTATACTCGCAACGCCTAGTACAACAGCTAGGATCGTTCGTCAGTTTAACCCACCAGAATGTCCAGAATATGGGATTAGAAGCCTAGGCAGAAATTACTCGGAAAATAAGCGCCACAGGTAAATTGCGCATTTTCGAGTATTATAATAGTTTACATAAAACTTATTGGCATGTAGGTACATACATAGATAACTATTCATTTTTAGTTACATATTGCAGTATACTTTTCGCGTCATACAATTTCTGTTTGCCGATGTGACGTGATATCAGAACTATGTGTTCTTGAACATTATTTGATATATCAGGGTTTGAACATTCCGAACTTAGTAAGTTTAAACGAACATATGTCCAATTCATAATGACTGCAGCAGCTACTTTTGAAGTTGATTTAAATGGCGTAAAAGTTTAATAAAAGTAAAAATTTATCAATTGCTGAACAATATTACAAATATACAGGGTGATTCACAACTTCATTTATTCACAAAAAAATTTGGGAATAGATGCGGCATGAGAAATGGAGTCTTAAAAAAAAAGTTGTAAAATCCTTACAGTTTCCGAGAAAAAAATTATTGAAGTTGTAGCACGTTCAACCACATGGAGAGCCACATGGCCTCAGCGACTCCGAATACTGAACTCCGATTTTACAATCGTCGCCGTCGTTGCGTTAGTGTTTACTTGTTATATGTGGTGTTTACAATAGTTTTTTAGTAGTTAGTGTCAAAAATGGCTTGCGTGTATATGAACTCGGAGTTGATGGATATCGTTTTAATTTATTTATTATGGTGAAGCATCTGTATTATGGTGAAGCAAGACAACATTTGTATTAGGTACTTTGAAGGAACTGAGTAAAACAGACCCAAATGTGTTTACACGTCAGTGGATAAAATTTTGAACAGTTTGCCGCCATGCCGGTCGCATTGTGCGAGATTAGGTTTTACAGTGGACCAGTTTCCAGTGCCGCGCAGAAGTATATTTTTAAATCATTTTCGAACTGCCCTTTTTGATTTTTTCTCTACAAAATTGTATTTGTAAGTCTCCCGTACATCAAATTATTTTTTTTGTGAATAAGTTATGAATCACCCAGTTTTTAAAACAAATACAGATTCATTAAACTCATGAGTTTCCTGAAAATATTTATCAATAAAAATAACTATAGTGATTTTCATTTTACTATCTCTCGAGATCAGTTTTGTGTGGTCATCAAATTATTCTGAGCAAACAAATTTGACACGGGTCTAAGGTCATTTAGGATAAGCGCATCAGGTATGTCATTCCATCTTTATTTATTGATTTAGAAAAGTTCACTCATGCATAACTCAGACGAAGTAATAAAATGACAGCCTGATATTTTCGTGTTTGTTCGTAAAAGCTAAAAAATATCCTAATTTAGTGTTAATACTAAATAATATACCTACCAATACCTACTAAACTGAAAATTTCCACAGACTCAAAATGCAGGATTTAGAATAATATATACGTACCATGTTGGCATATCTGACTGTGAGGGAAGCGGACTATATAAAGTTTAAAAAATTTATTTCATGACGAGATTTTGGAATAATTGATTAAGGACTATGTTTTTCGTTCAATCTTTGAAAAATCGTAGAACTTTTAGGAACCATTCTATAAAAAATCGTCGCTGTTGTAACTAACACGCTTTGTTTTGATGAGATGAATCAGCCTCAAAAATTTGTCGCAACGGCCTTATTACTACACCTTAATTAAATCTAAACGGATTTTTCCGACACTCTGTATTAAAATTCTTACCTGTTGACGTCATAGGACCCTGTCTGTTGATAATATAGTCCAAAGCCGTCGCCCAATTCAGGTCGCTAATATCCCTCTGCTTCTCCATCAAGAAAGTCATATAGAAAGCGACGTGGTTCTGCAAATTCCTCCCTACGCCCGGCAGCTCGTGCAGCTGTTGAATGCCGACTTTAGTCAACTCCGCTTTGGGTCCGATGCCGGACAGCAAGAGGATCTGCGGGGAGTTAATGGCGCCGGCCGCCAGAACCACCTCCTTGGACACCCTCACGGTGTGCAATTTGTTCCCGTACAGGAACTCCACCCCCCGGATTACTTTTTTTCCTCCGGTGTTGCTGAGTAGGATTCGGGCGGCCGTTGAATTTAACATTACATGCAGGTTGGGACGATTTCGGGCCGGCCGGAGGTATGCTCTGGCGCTGCTGAGGCGAGCCCCGTTCCTGGAATAGGGTGGATTTGATTAGTGGATTTATTGTGGCCGAAGAACGCTTTATTAAAGTAGCAAGTACTGAGGCAAAAATTTGCTAGAGATGTAACTATTCGGTGTATTGAATTGTCATATTTTGTCCAAAGCAACGAGCAATTAAAAGTATTAGTTAATTTCAACAGTATTTTTATTTTTCATGGTATTTGGCAAAATACCTAAATAAAACGAGAGTAATATATTTTCACTACTTCACCATACCAACGCGTGGAAAATAAAAATTGAAAAAATTCTATGAAATCCTTTAAAACGCATTACAGTATTATAAGCGAGCTACTATCTTTTAAATATAAATAAAAAAGTTAACCAGTGACAAAACTACCATATGAAGACTACAGGGAAAGAACAAGGTATGTCACATTTTTAATGAAATTGAGCTGAGTGCGCCATCTATTAGAGAAAACCGAATTCTACATGCTACGGAGACGAAACTGGTAGTAAGTAGGCAAGTCTCAATAATATCGAAGCTTTAAAAATCGTTGTACAGGGAAAAAACCAGAGATGTCCACCGGAAAAAGGAGAAAAACATGGGATGTCCATAAAAACAAAATGTTTACTATTTTGATCGCAGGGACTAGTCGGCGCGTGACACTTCAGACGTTAGTCAGTTTTTTCCCTTACTAGTGGCTGTTGTTTTTAGTGTTTGTAGCGTGTAGGCTAGATAATTGTGTATACCTATATGCTAAAAGTATGGATAATACCAGCCCAAATTCGTCTGTTAAAACGAAAAGGTTGCAGACCTCTATCGGATGTAGCAAAAAAAATGAGGGTTCAATCACATGAGCCTGGGCCTGACTGTAAGTGCAAGCGTCTTCAATGTTTTGTCAATATATCAGTAGATGAAAGGCTAATACTTTTAAGAGATTATAATGCAATGACTGATAGACATAAGCAAAATAGTTATTTGAACTCTCTAATTACTATGCAATCAATTCAACGAAGAAGACCTAGGCGTAACGAAGAATATGCTTCACTTCATGATAGCTCATTTGGTTATAAAGTACGTATTATGCGAGAAGGATTAGCGAAAGAGATACAGCTATGTCTTAAGGCTTTTTGTTCTATACATGGAATTAATATGGGAAAAGTTGAATATATACAAAAATGTCTTAAGTTCACTGGCAAATCTCCACAAGATAAACGTGGTACTCATTCAAACAGACCTCGTCGATTGCAGGATAACGTAATAAAGTCACTACAGTTTGCATAAAACGGAAAAAATATACTTGCCCGGGGACCTTAACATAAAAAAATGTTTACACTTTTTAAAGAAAAATATCCTGAAGGAGTTATTTCTTACGAAATATATAGAATTAATTTCAAAAAATATAAAATATCATTGGATACCCACGTTGTAACACATGCAGCACGTGTGACACATACTTAGCTGAAATGTAGGCGCTTGATTTTTCTAGATCAAGAATGAAGATGCCTACAGTTCTAAATAATTTACATAAATCCAAAGCACAGGTATTTTATACAAGAAAAAGAGAGGCAAAAAAATGGGCCCAAAAAAATATTAGCTTTGAAGCAATCTGTATGGATTATCAGAAAAATACACCTTTGCCGAACATCACAACCAATGATGTGTATTATAATCGCCAATTATCCATTTTTAGCTTTAACATACATGTTTTGCCATCAGGAAAATCGGTGTTCTATACATACCCTGAAAGCATAGGAAAAAAAGGTTCAAACGAAGTAATTTCATTTATTCATGATTTTATATTTGTTTTGTTAATGAAAGACCCTTTTTGTTAGTGGACTGTATTTTTGTATTAGAGCAGGTATATAACTTGGGAAGCAATCGGACAGGCTTGCAAGATTTATTTATCGGATTCGAAAAATATGTAAAATTTGTCACTATGACAGTAAACAACCTACTACTACAAAAAACGAAAAACAACGCTGCTATGTCTTGACCATACCGCCAGCCTTGAAAGCCTGTCTTTCAACATACTGGTATACATAAACCCATAAACAACAATCAAGTATAAACATAGAGATACAAAGAGTGTACCAAACATATCAGCGTAATATCAACTCAATTTTTAATCCTTAGAGTCATCAAAAGGCAGTTCACATAACTGAGTCACGGCTCTTTTGAACACACCTTTAGCTGTTTTCACTGATACAACGCGGCACGTATTGTCACTTCCAGAATGTAACTCTATCACTCTAGCTAACTGCCACTTAAGTGGTGGTAAATTTTCGTCTTTGATCACTACCATAGCACCAACTTTGATCGGCTCTTTTGAAGTGCGCCACTTGCTGCGCTGCTGCAATTGACTCAAGTACTCCTTAGACCATTTTGTCCAAAAATCTTGCACCATTTTAGTCATTAGATGAAACCGTTTTATTTTGTTTGGATTATAGGATTTTAGGTCTTCTTGGGGTAAAGCGCATAAAGACGTACCAATTAGAAAATGACCGGGAGTAATAATGTTCAAATCGTCAGGATCCTCAGTTATGGGAGTAAGAGGACGCGAATTTAAACATGATTCAACCTGGGCCACGACAGTATTAAACTCTTCAAACGTCAATCGACGATTACCAATAACTCTCTTTATGTGATACTTTGCAGATTTCACTGCAGATTCCCACAAACCGCCAAAGTGCGGTGACCTTGGTGGAATGAAATGCCATGTAATGGAGGCCTGCGAAAAATATTCCGAAAAAGCCCGTTGATTGTTCGTATCGCATAAGAATTGATATAAATATTTAAGCTCTTTATCTGCGCCTACAAAATTCGTTGCATTGTCTGAGTAAACATTTTTACAGACACCTCGTCTAGCCACGAATCTTTTAAAACAATTTAAAAAGGAATCTGTAGTCAAATCTCCCACCAATTCTAAATGCACCGCATGTGTAGAAAAACATACGAATAAACAGAGATAACCTTTAACACTAGTATGCCTCTTAATCTTACTAATTTTTAACTCAAATGGACCCGCATAGTCTACTCCTACATTTGTAAAAGGTCTACTTGGTGTAACGCGATGTCGCGGTAAATCCCCCATGAGGTGTGTTAAATCCCGAGGACGTACTCGAAAACATACTATGCAATTTCTCAGAAAACCTCGTATGGTTCTACGACCTCCTATAGGCCAGTATTTTAATCGAATATGTGCGAGTAAGGCTTGCGGCCCTGTATGTAATAACTTATAGTGATAANTATTATTATTATTATTATTACAGAAGAAGATTTGACTCCATAAAAATAACTTTTCCTATCAGAGGCCACTCATACATGGAGTGCGACAAAAATTTTGTTCTTTGGTCAATCATAAAACTAGCATGGAAGTTCCAAATGATTGGTATCATCTGTTGAGTATTTCCAGATCAAAGCCTGAACCCTTTGATGTGATACATGCATAGCAAAACATGATTCGTTCCTGGTCAACTTTATTATCATCTTTGAGATATGTCAATAAATTACCATTTAAGATTCAGGAATTAATAGTAATTTTTTGAAAATTTGAGATATCAGTGATTCCTTACATTATATAACATTTTGACGTTTTCTACAGTTTTAAATAAAGTTAATCATATTGAGAAACAAATATTTCTAGACTTTTTCTTATATTTTGGCTTATTTTCACTGGACATTCGCATTTGTCCCCCTATTTTTTTAGACACTCCTTGTTTTCCCCCTGTATTTTTTTGCATCTGCGCCAATTTTCTGTCCATAAAGTAATTATAATAAAAATATAGAGACAATTACTGTAAACATATTACTTGTCAAAACATTGGTTAATAATCCAAAAATTGAAGTCATAGCTCAAGACATTTAAATGTTATTTTAATTTCAGACTTAAAAACGCCTTTATCTCAGTTTCATTAAAAATGGACATTCCTTGTTTTTCCTCTGTAGTCTTCATATAGCAAAAGAGAGTAACGGGGTGGAGGGAGATGAAGGGAGCCTCCTCCTACCTTCGCTCTATTCGAGTGAAGAAATTTCATTAAATAATGTAATATTTTTTATTGATGCATTATGTAAACAAATTAAAACGTTTCTAGGGCCAGTAACGACACCAAAGTTGCAACACTGAATAAGTAAAAATTTTTCTGATGCAAAGTCCAACATAAGGTACACATTTGCATAGTTTTATAAAATTTTGTATTTTATAGAGGGTGATTAATAATTAAAAAATGGAGTATCTTTAAATACTAAAGACTAAAATTTGACGGTGATACAGAGTTGAAAGCTATTTTGAAATTTCAAAATTTTTGTAGTATCAAAACTTACCAATTTCCTTAAATAATAATGTATTTTTATATTTTTTCCTTGGATAAAGTTTTTAAAATTTAACAAGAGTAAAAAAAATTTTGGAATTAAATTCTGCTGTGAATTAATATTATTATTTTTCAACGGTCAATGAAAAAAAAGTTCGGTTCAATTTTAGGGGTGAGTCATCCCCAATGAACATCTTGTAGTGCTTCAATTAACTTTAAATCATAGTCAAAGAAGACCAGTAATAAACCCAAATCATGTATAGTCTTTCCGAAGTCAGTTGAGCATGTATAAAAAACCGAGCTATCAAATTTAATGAGTTATGTTAATTATTTATGTCCTCAAACAATTTTATTATATTGATGGTAAATTTCGTTTTGTTCCGTTTCAAAAGGTCTCCAAAATGCTATGTTATAACAATATTAGTAAACCAAATATGCCTCATATTTTTCCCTTTCGCAATTGTAATACGATTGATTAATATAAGGGTGTCTATAATAAATCAAAATTATCTGAATCTCCAAATTCCGCATTGCTGCACTGCACTGCCAGACAACTTGTCGACAACTGAAATTTATGACGCAGTGGACCAGAGCAACAGTACGTATTGCTGTTTGCCCGCACGCCCATTCTTTAACTGGGCGTATACATTTCTACCGCCTGCACGTTTCGTTCGACCAAACCTCTAAATGGGTATGGCTAAATAAATATGGGAACAAGTT